CTTCTCTCTCTCTCTCTCTCTCTCTCTCTCTCTCTCTCTCTCTCTCTCTCTCTCTCTCTCTCTCTCTGGACTTCAATCTCGAATTACCTTCACAATAAAACTCATACTAACCGACTTTAAACGTGTTAACAAACAAACACAGGAACAGGTAAGTGTGCTTGGCAGTGGGATGGAGCGGGACACTTACAAAGACTTCGTAAAGTACAAACGTACAATTTTCGAAGACTACAATAAAGAAACAGAGTGTCATCCCACCTCTCGCCCTTTCTTCAGAAGGGACATGTATATTATGTTTTTCTTCTCTCCCATTGTCCCTCAGTAATGAAGTTGTGGACAACAAGGTAAATAATAACAAGACAAAGATTTTACTGCTGTATCATGGAATGTTAAGGGGTTTTTTTTCCTTTAAAAAATGCAGGAAATCGAATTAAAGAAATATCCAACGTAAAAAGTGAAAACTAAACCCGTGGGTCTTTCTGGAAATTTACGATCGGCTACAGAAAAGGGAACTGGAGAGCAGACAATAAATGTTGACAAATTTAAACGGTCGTCTTTGGGCCAGGAAAAAAAGGCAGGTCAGGGGTTTGTGTGGGTGGGGTGGAAAGGAAGAGTTGAAAGGAGGACGACGACGCGATGGATGGCGGGGAGCGGAGGAAGATGCGGATGGAATCCTCTGGAGGTAGGCTGCGGAGTTTTTGTCGAAATGACATGAGCAATGAGTGCGAGGCCACACCAGGAATGTGGCAAGGTGTAAACAAGCCCGCCCTCCCGTCTGTGTCTCATGTTGTCGTTTTCTCTGAGGAGCGGAGGCTGGGGCTATATAATGTTCTTATACTATACTGAGTGTCTACATACATGACCATGTTTCGGGGCGGTTTATCCTCGGTGTTAGGTATAAACAGTTTTTAAAATGTGTTTATTACATTATTATTTTGGTACTTGGTGTGTTCTGTGCTGACAGCGTAGAGTTTGTATGAGAAAGAATCTCCCTGGTAAAACTTGAAAGTGATTGTTTAATACGCTTGTATTTTTTCTGCTTGTGTGCGGGGGTTTTTTGGTCTGTCTGCGCATGTGTGTTTTTGTTTGTGTGTGTGTGTGTGAGTGTGTGTGTGTGTGTGTGTGTGTTTGTGTGTGTGTGTGTGTATATGTGTGGAAGAAAGAAAGAAAGAGAGAGA